GGCTAGGAATGGCTGGGAATGGCTAGGAATGGCTAGGAATGGCTGGGAATGGCTGGGAATGGCTGGGAATGGCTGGGAATGGCAAGGAATGCCAGGGAATGCCCGAATGAGTTTTTTCCCCCTTGGGTTTATTACTTATGGTGAAGTCAACATATCGATTATATATTCTGACAATAGACTACCGCATTCATTCATACTGCCAGTTCTTCTGGCTGACAATATAGAAAACCTTAAAAGACAAATACAAAAACTTCAAAACTTCAAAAATATAGAATTGAAATCACTAATTTTAAATGTAGATACTCAAATAAGTACAGCATGTTGGAATGAAGGTCTAAGACTCAAATCAGTTGGCACTGTCATCTCATATAAATTATATGAAGATAGTTGTATCATCATGGTAAAAGTACTGGGAGAGGTAAATTAATAATTTCGTCTACTATTTCAGCAAAAAATAAGCTTTGTTTTTATAGAGCGCTTTCGGAGAAGCCTCGTTTAATTATCAACTTTTCGTGAGAACTCTCACTGGAAAGACAATCACTATTGAAGCAAATTCTTCGATGGATATTTCTACTGTCAAACAATACATCCAATATAAAGAAGGTACTGCCCCAGATCAACAACGTTTAATATTTGCGGGTAAACAACTAGAAGAGGAGCAAACTCTCTCCGATTACAACGTACAAAAGGAGAGTACGCTTCACTTAGTATCACGTTTACGCGGTGGTATGTTTCATTTTACAAGTGGTCGACAAGATTTCGATAAAGTACCAAGCGAATCAGCCGAAGCAATAAGAAATGTTCTTACATTTGAATTCGAACATACTAATCATCTTGCATATTTATCACCGAGGGAACTGCAAAATTCCGTTTTACGAGCACAAGCTTTACTCTCAAAGCTATTCTCTACAACCAGAAGACATTCTGTAGAGAATGGTGTTCCAAATTTGAAAAACATTATACTATCAGAGGCTGCTGATGACAATAGCGAAGAGGATTATGAGAATGTTCCCAATGATCCATGAAAATTATCAATCCAAAAGCAGCTACAAGTATTTCAATTATTTCAACATGATGTACTCAAACAATTACTTATTCAAGAAGAACCAATTAGACTTAGTCAACAAACACAATAATTATTAGCTAGTACTGAAGATTGAAAAGACATGGATTCGATGAATATCATAGCTGATTTACAAGCCAACTTAATCAAGACATTTCTAGGTGAAGATGCAGCACCCGATAAAATTCAATATGGTTTAAAGTAACGATTCGACTTCATTGTAATTCTAATTTTTTTCCTTATTTCAATGTAGTATATTACGAATTATCTCTTTATGTTCGACATAATCGTGCAAAAAGAGGTAATCTTCGTGTTGGTGATCCAGCTATTGGCGTCGACTTATTAAAAATGAATGGCAAATCTATTTCATTGTTATCTCATTGTAATCCCAATCGAGCATTGTTGTTTCTTGTTGGTTCATATACTTGACCACCCTTTCGTGGCCTTGTACCACAACTCAATCAGCTCATGGATTCTTATCGAGATCGAGTTGATATGATCACTGTTTACATCGAAGAAGCTCATGCAGTTGATGAATCGTAAATTATTTAAAAAACAGTATTCTTTTCGGATCGTCATTAAATATAATATTTTATAGACCAATCGGTAGTCGATTTCGTCGTTCTCAGAAATAATGATAAGATGTTATTATGATATTGAAAAGTTTAAAATGATATTTTTTGTTGAAAACATTTGAATGATGCTGACGAAAAATTGATGTATCCAATTTCTTTTTAGTATCACAATGATATAAATCGTTCTTTCTGTACAGTTTTGTTTCTGTTATATTTATTTTAACTATACAAATAAAAATAGTGTGAAATTCACATGATTGATTATCGCATTTTTTCGTAATGCGCTGGAACTCATTGAATATATATAGTTTTTTTCTAATTGCATAGTCATAATAAAATCGTATAATACTAAAAGTATGTGAGTATATGTCCAACTTTATTTTATCATGATTTTCTCAGTACTTCCCACATGGAAGAATGAAAAGTGAATGCGTAAAGTATTTTCGTTTCTAATCAAGGATATGATATCGATTACTAGTTTATTTTATTGCTGCTGTTTTTTACAGCGATCGTATTTCTTTTCTTAACAATTGGTATATAAAGGCTAGCCGAATATAGCAATAGTTCGATGTTTATTAATATAAGAATATACCGAATAAACAATTTTTTGTTTTTCTATAGGGTATGACTTGGCTATTCCTTGTTTTGATTCATCTATTCATCAACATCGAATATCGGTTTTTCGATTAAATGATCACTATAAAATTATGGATCGATATCGTTCACATTTGACTTTTATTGTTACAATAATAGTTGCAATTGTTGCATCATCCTTAATCATATTTATCTTACTGTCATTTAATTTCAACCGCGACGAACTACATTAATAACAACATAAAATAATTAATACTCATGTCTATCATTGGATAAATTGTTTTGACGATCGAAAAAAAAAACTTTTGAAGTAATTTGTTTTTGTATATCATAATGATAATTAGTTAATATTAAAAGATTTTTTTCTAAGCAAATTATTATCTTCTTTTTAATCACAGTACTCAATGGCATGAACAGGGTGATTAATATCAAGTAATTAAAATTAATATTGTAACTCTTATTATGGCAAATATCATTTGATTTTCGTACTGCTGTTGATCATCAATACGATGAAACTAAATAAATTGTAACATCGGGTTTAAAATATTTATTGTGTTCACAACGAAAGTTTACATGTCCACCAAAATCTGAATTTTCGAGACAATTTTTAAATATTTCTTGAAACAAAAAATAAGAAAAATGTTTACTCTCCTTGTTACTTATTTATAAGTCTGAGGAGCCTTAGTAATCTTGAACATTTCAACTGATAACAGTGATCTTCTATCGAGCAGTTAAATTTTCACAAGTAAATTTGATTTATTTTCAGTCAATATAGTATGAAGAAGAATATTTGTTAGTAAGAATAAATAGCGGGTGCTGCGAATGTTTCTGAAAAAATGTTTTTTGTCTTGGTCTTCTTTAAATTATGTCATATGAGTTAAAAGCTATAGTTTAAGTGCAGAAGTTTTGTGTCTATAATTGATCGAGAGTAGCAGTAGAATTTTACTAAGGTCTAAAAGATCAGCTCAAACAATGAACAACAGGCTCTGTTGCCCTCTATAAGTCCCTTTGGAAAGATGCTAAAAAATTACTTGACTGAATAGTTTTGTAGGGTAAATCTTTTCTCTAAAAACTTATATGTTAATAAAGGTTCCGATTTTTAGTTTCGGATTTCAATAATGAAAATACGAAAATGCATGGAAAATTTTTCCGTCCAAACAATTTTTCCAATCCTAACGATTCACTCACAACTTTTTGCACCATCGGCTATTAAGGTTAAGACCTAAGTCAAAATTCGATGCTATGTAAAAGATTGCGATTTCTGAATCAATTTACAGCAGTCATACAATCGAGTCATTTTTCTGCAATTGTCAATGATTGAATATGAAGCATATGAGCGTTGAAAGAACTTCATGTATTACTTTTTATTGATTTTTACAAAACAGCTTTTGATCATTGTTGCCCAAGGAAATAGTGAATAAGCCTTGAAAATATGCTAAAATGTTATCGTCTACTATGACTTTGATACAATTTAATTAGGGTTTAAAAAAGTATGAATTAATCCCATCAACTTTTAGAAATAAAGCTCATGGGTGTTGAATATTGTTCGTGATCCCGAATGGCCCTTTTTAGTCCTTTGCAGATGGATTTTATTGAACCGTGAACGCCTTCAATTTTTGACCAGTCCCTTGCCCATAATTTATGTAGATCTTTGTTTCTACAGAAAACAAAGATGCTATCAAGCTTATTCAAATGATGTATGCGAGGCACCGTCTGCTGTCCAAGCGATCCAGAAACGATTAAAAAAATTGTCTTGTCGTTAATACGTCTTAAGTATTGAAAACATCGATCAGCATCAGTAAATCTCTTTACGCTGACCACAATCTTCCGTAGTTCTGCGAGAGACTTTTGAAAATCGTCGTCGTTCTCATCGATACCGGCATCGAGCCAAACAAGAACTAAATCTTGATCGAAATGTCCACGTCGCTGTCGAAACGCTGATGAATAAGTTACAGGCTGATTGAAAATACTTTTACTAGTGATCTCTTTGGGCATCCCCAATGACTTCTTAGTATGATATCCAAGATGGCTTGCGCCGGTAGTCGTGGAAAATTTTGTCGTGTCCATATGGTATGTAGTTGTGAAATTTATATGCTATAAGAAGAAATTAAATAGTTAGTTAAATAGGACGTCGGTGAGGAGAAGAATCACACGCGCACAATTTTCCCCCCATACAATACGCATGGGATAGTAGAGTCACCGTGAAAATAATTTACTTCTATCAAATGAAACATTAGCCTACAGGGCAAGGTTTTTTGACCGAGTAATTCACAAAAAAACTAGAGAGAAGTATCAATATGATCAGTAATCCGTTGAAATTAATTTTTTAAGATTCAGAATAAATGATCTCTTCTAGGATGCTAAAGTTTACTTTCAGGGGATTTTTAAAACACTAAAATATTTGTTTCGTCTCTTTTAAAAAAAAACCCTCTAATTTAATATTTGTACACGACGAAAAATAACAGCGTCATTTTCATAGTTTCTATTTTGAATAAGGCTACTAAAATTAAATCAAAGCTCTGCCCTGTGGACACATCTGACCCGTACTGTTTGTTGCTAAACGCTATAGTTTGAGTTCATACAATCAGACTAACAAAGAAGAGTATTGATAGCTATTTTGCTGATTTATATTTTGTCTCCTTGTAATTTTTATATCTTCATTTGCTAATGGTGACATTTCATGTCTGAAGACGTCAATCTTACGTCACTATGTCAAATGATTCATCATTCGAATACCTTATGAATAAAAGTAATAACCTCGGCATTTTCACTATCGAATCTTACAGTTTCTATCCTTTCCTAAGCTGTTGTTTAGAAAGTTTCTCAAAATAAATTCATTCCAAGAAATGTTCTATGTGTAATTTGAACTAATCTACACATTCACGAAGAATATTTTCGTCATTTTTCTATATTATGTTTAGCTACTATTGACTTTCAATTTTAATTCTAATAATGTTGAATATAAAATATACTTACGTACTAAACGCTTTTTAAGTGTGATATTTCTTCCTTTTTCTCTACTTCTAATTACTGTTGTTGTGAATCGGTAACGTATGCAGACACTTGATTTTTGTTTCTAACTAGTTCTGTTTTACAGATGAATCAATGAACCATGATATTTTAATTACACATTCAACGCTTATTTATCGGTAGATATGTCATGCATGTTTTGTCAATCTTCTTTCATCACTCTTATGCAAGTTTCATGATATTATGATCAGAAAACATGCGCCTATATTTGCATAAACAAGTGACTCACATTTCAATCTCAGCATTGCATTCTGATGAGTAAAATAAAAACTAATTTTTTTTACTTAATAACAAATTGTTCTTCTAGAGAACGCTTTTCTATTTAGAGTATATTTATATGGAGATCACCTATGAAATTGAATAATATTTTATTACTTTCGTTTACCTTAGTCAGTATTCAATTCTATGTTTGAGAAGAAATTGCATTTCTCCAAAATACTCGCGCTGATCATTATTCTAACGAATGCAGCAGAAGAACTGATCGATTACTTTTTTCTCGGATTTCAGTCTAACAGATGCGCGTACACTCAACTTCAAGGTTTCTCCCTAGTAAAGCAACATTCACTTTTCTTCATAGCAATTTGATGAAAAATTTTCAGTGTCTCATTATGAAGCATTCAATGATGCACCCGTTACATAATATTTTATTCGGTCACAAAGTTTTCGTCGCTTGATTGATAGAAAGCTTATCCATAGCGTTGAATACTATCAGAAAGAATAAAATCATTAGATATGCAGATATTATATATATATTTTATTGCAAGACTTTTTCATTCATTTGTTGTTTGATGATTAGACGTGGTCAATTGTTCACTTGAAAATATATTATTACATATCTTTTCTTTTTTTCCGCTCACTCGACTTTCTTTTGGTGTTCATACATAATCAGCATATTCGGCATCGTCTTGTTTTCTGCTTCAATGTCTACTTATATGTTGATCTTCGTTCGCAATTAGTTAACTATCCAATCAGTATTTCAGTCATTTGCACTTGTGAAATGACGGTATGCATGCATGTGATTATTTCCGGTCACTCATATTTCCCTGACTTTTTTTCTTCTTCTCTTGAGATTTCAACACTTCACTTAATCTCCACATGACATACATATATGCAATTATCGATTGAGAGGCACACGAAAAACGACGAAGAGAACGTTAATCTTGACTGCAGTGAACAGCAGCTTTGACAAATATTCCTATCTACTGTTCGCCATTTTTTTATTCATGTTTACAACCCTGAAGCTACATATTCATATCTCATAAAAAACAATTCTTTTTTCACATGTTTTCCCATACTTATATAGATAGATATAGACAATCAGCTCCCTACATCTTGAAACAACAAAAAAGAAGACAAAAAATAACAATATCATTAATCAGCATCTCAGTGTTATCTTTCTACAATAAATCTATGTAATAAAAAAAAAATTGTACATGCTGGTCAATTAACAGATGATTGTTAATTTCGAATAGGAAAAACATAATGTCTATGTTCATCAAATAAAAAAAAACTCATCTTTGAACTTGTTTATTTTGGAAATTAGCCTATAAGAGAACATATGTGTTTTGTCCTCTATTGACATGTCTAATTATTTGTCCTATTTCCTTTCGTTGCGGTTTTATTTCATCTAGTTTTTGTTGTGTTGAATATGAACAGAACTAAAACATCAAATGACATCATTTGAATTACATTAAGCAAAAAGAAAACACAATTCTTCGCATTGTTCTAAAAGTCATTAAAAATGAATTTGATGAGTTCAATCTTTTTAAAGTTATTTCCTTCCTTCCTTCCTATTTTCCTTTGAGAACAACAAGAAATATGATCTTGTTTTATTACTATCACGTTAGATAAACTTCCTGGAGAATTGATATTCAAAATAACAATCAATATTGTTAGATTTATTTATTTCCATTTTAATCGAAAACACATACTTCTATATAAATATATACAAAAAACAAGACTGTTCATTGTGCCTTACAAAATAAAGTGAACACTACACAGGGTTCAATCATCGTTTTCAATATCGATAATATCATTTTCATCATGATCATCAACAATCAATAGAGAATGATGTTCTGAAAATGATGATGACGAGGAAAAATCGATAGGAAAATCATTGTGATTTGTACGAATATGTGATCGAAGATTACAAGATAAGGAAAACTTTTTTGAACAGAATTGACATTGAAATGGCTTTTGACCAGTGTGAATGAGAAGATGATTTTTCAGATTTGTTTGTTTAGAAAATCCACGTGTACATATCGGACAACGATATGGCCATGTGCCATTGTGAACGTGTGAATGACAACGAAGATCACCTGGTGTTGCAAAACTTTTTGAGCATTGACAACATTTATGAGGTTTATCCTATTGAACGAAAAACAAAAATAAAATTATCTTTGAAAATAATTATTTTTTTACTTTGCTGTGAGTTAATTTATGATAATAAAGATTTGATGATGCCGTGAAAGATTTACTGCATATTTCGCAAATATGTGGTTTTTCACCGGAATGAATTCGACGATGAGTATTTAATGATGATGAAGTTGAAAATGCTTTTGAGCATACATCGCATCCATGAGGTTTTTCACCTGTATGAGTACGAATATGTCGTGTTAACAACGATGGACGGTCGAATGGTTTCGAACAAATTTCACATTTCCACATACGACGTTCTTTTTGCTTATTATTTGATGAAACATTGATTGAAGTATTTGTTAATGATACAAGTGCACTTCGATTTGTATTTGTTGCTGTCAACGATGAACCAAGAATTCTCTCAATCATAAACGACATGATTGTTGATCTTACGGAAGCACTTTTTTTTCTAATAGATCAAGTGTGTGAGTTATGTCAGAATGAACATAATATTACGTAGGCAACAATCTTATATATATATATAGGTCAAACATTCTTTCTTTCTATCTCTCTCTCTCTTCCTACTTTCCTTAACGGTTCATTTATTTCGTTGTATATTTCAGATGCTATATTTCATACTATTTCTCTTTCATTCTATTCCTATGTTTTACTCAGAAAACTTCGAATCGGCAGAGATTATAATTAATCAAACAACACAAACAGATTCTTTTGTAAGTGTATTCAACATGATCAACTTTTTTTATTCTCAAATTTTAAACAGCAAAAGAACGAAGTACTCATCATTGAACGGGCTCGTAGTGTTAAAAATCGCAACAGACAAGAAGTTAAATTAATAAGACCATTACTGATTCGGTTGTATATTGAATCAGCTGAACTATATCCACTAGAGTATCTCAAGGTATCGTTAACATTAATTTTCAACGGGCTCTATTTTTTGGTATAGAGCATCAACAATAAAATATTTCCAGTATCACTTCAACATTTGCAAACAGAAAATAAATGCCAAAAAAATTCAAAATCATCTACATTTTGTGGTTATGATAGTTACGATATTCACACGGCAAAACTTATCAAAGTTTCTTTTGATTTTTACACAAAGGAATTCCTTTTAGTTTTTTATTTAGGGATATTCTTGCAAACATTGTCGCAATAAAACTTGCCATACAATTACACATTGTCTACGGCAAGATGATTATTGGTGAGAGATCCGAAATTCTCGTACAATGGAAAATCATGATTTATGTAGGTACAATGTTTACAATATTGATTCACGTCAATTACATTTTTCGGTTTCTCTGCATATTTACGAACTTGCTGATAATCTAACTTGGACATCGTTATTAAAAATAGACCTCCATGGATTTCCTACTGTAAATAAAAGTACTGATATTGGTGATATTCAAATAAGTTCATTGAATGCAAATGAACATTCAATAGCGAATAATCTCCTGAATGAATATAAATATTTATTAGTTCGCCAGCCAATATTAACAGTTAACAATAAAATTCAACCGGACGCTCATGAATTTATGACTGTTAATAAGTCTGAATTGAATCTTGATGAAAATGATCTATGTAAGAAAATGGTTAGTACCAATAATCGTTCAATATGTTCCGTTGAATGTTCAAAACATCAACCATTTGATTTTTGGCTTTCGGATAAAGTAAATAGAAAAATAAAATCAATGAGCCATTCCGTATTTCATTTAGGCGAATGAATTAAATCGGAAACCTTTGCGTTATGCTTTTCATCCTGCTCTTGATTTACCGATTCATGAGTATAACAATAAATTTAAATTTCTTATCCCATATAGAAATAAATTTCGTCTTAATATAACACTCAAACAACGTCAATCGGTTGGATTTCAGTAAATAATCTTCTACTCGATTATTTCAATTTTTCTCTTTCTTTATGAAGATGTTTAGTTTCTATTTCGGAAATATCCGTTGAATCATTTTCTCAATATACATTTCAAATTGCAATAACTATCAATAATACAGGCTTATCATTATGTTCGATACGTGTATCTCTCATGCAAAATCAACGGAAAAACTTTTATTTTGAAAAACAAGAAGATCTATCTGTATATCATATTAGTCCAATGCATGAACAATTAGTATTTTTTACAATATCAATAAAAAGAAGTCAACGGAAAAAAACAGTCCTCTCATCAATCTATATAAAAACAAGAATCGAAGATTTTCTTACGAATTCGACATTAGCAGAACGAAAGTTTTTGCTGAAATATGCTCATCATTGCGTCTGTGTTTCTATCTGCCATTGTCAAGTAAAATTTCAATTTTATTTCTCAGATCGATGCTGTTCGGATCAATTTTTTACCTTAGTGTTTTAAGAATACACTTGTCCCCAATCTTGCACAATTGCAATGTGTACCTATGCTTGAAGATGATATTAATCGAGCAGGATTATCAAGAGTGAACAATGATCGATTACTTGAACTATTGACTGTTCTCGAAAATCCTTTGATTGAAACGACCAATGAACAATCAAGATATGTTAGAAAATGGTTTTTATTTATTGCTGTATTTGCCCTTTGTTTAAGTAAGTCGAAATAGTAGAAAACTATGTTTAAGAATGTCTCATTATTTTCAGATGTCTTATTGATTTTTACTTTAAATTAATTGTCTCGAACCCGGATGAAAACGCACATACTTTTCAAACTTCAATTTTATGAAAGTGTACAATTATCTTTATCCGATAGAGATAATTCCTGTTCAGCTAACAGTTGTATCATTTCATCAGGTGTATTTAATTGTTTTTTTGAATCTCTTGTATATTCAAATTTTGTTTCACGTGTTATTTGTGCATAGATCTCGTCTAGTGTCATGGGGTGTTTAATAGTTTCAGTTTCGCGCTGTGAACCTAATTTTTTCAGAAGAATTTGACTATGATTAATATCGAGTCTATCAAAACAATATTGAATAATGGATGAAGTTCGAAGATGTAACAGTGCTTGTGGTAGGTAAGTATTAAATGCAGCAATGATTGGTTGATGTGAAAGATGATTTCTAGAAGATCTAAAGCTTAGTATCGAATAGACAAAGTAAGTGGAGCTATACAAATTCAATAGATTAGTTAATGCTTGATCTGGATGATCACCGCTAAGGTTTTCTGCCTGGAATTATTTTGATAAAACAAAAACATTTTGATAAATAAAATATGTTGAACTTACATCATCCATAATAATAATCGAGCGAGAATATGGCTTAATAATCTGAAGGAATTCCGATGATGATAAAGCACGAATTATATCTGATGGAAAATAGATTAAATTTTTTTCTTGAAGTTCATTGATTAAATAACGAATATAATATGTTTTGCCTTTATTTATTAAATAGAAATCAGATTCGAATTGATCTCTTTCGTTTTTACCTGTTCCTGGAATGCCATAAAGAAGAACGATACCTTTCCAATCAGGTTTAGCCAATTGTTTTATAATGTGATGATGAATGACTGTAAAATCTTTGCCATAATTTAATGAAATATCACAAATAAACGGCTTTTTAACACTAATTCCACGTAGGTAATAGCCTTGCGTTGGATACTTACAAACCACCTACAAATCCTATTGAAATATATAATCGAGATCCCTCAATTTCAGCTGATAACATACTTGAATAGCGGTCGATGTTGATTGAAGAACATAGAACGATGATAATTTACTAGCAAGTTCTTCATTGACATAATTATCATGTTGAGGTAAATAATGTATTCGTACTTTGTCAACTGTTAAAAAATGATTATGATCTCCATCGGGCTTATATTTATTTGGATTATCAACAGCATTAATTAATCGACAATTTTGACAATCGAGCATAATACCATTCCCGAGATTCGCCAGGAAATCAGTTATATGACGATATTCACGTTTGACAATATCTTGAGATGAATTATGCTTATGATCCATTTCAAGATAACGTCGTATACTAGGTACATGAAGTCTACCGGAACTAATCGAAGGTTGGATTACAACTGTACACGGATAGGCATGATAATGAGAAAGAAAGAGGTGCGTTGCTGGTATCTGTTGGTTTGATAGATCAGTGCGAAGCAAACTATGAAGTATAGAAGGATCTTCAATATATCCAGTATAAGATGTTGGCATGAAAGAAACAGGCTGCGGTGAATTCATCTATTTTGTAGGTGATGAATTCTATATTTTCTTTTTGAAACAACTAAATATTTGATATTTGACAAGCGGGAATTTGAAAAAGTAAATCAATAAAACTCAAAAAATAGGTACTTCAACCTCACATTAATTCAAAAAAAACCAAAGCAATTGGGCAAATGAATCTTCTTCGCCGATTCTACGATGCACGAATTAAAAGAAAGAAGAATTCCCAGTGTTTTGTTTTACAAAATTTAATTTTATATTGCAATAAGAAACACATCATCGATTATAATCGCTTTTTCCTTTTAGATTTTATTAATTTCGTTAGATGTGCGTATTTCGAACGCACACATATATAGAAAAAGAAACGAAAATAAACACACATAGACAGAAAGTGTTTTCTTTCTTTTCCTATTTTCCAACCATATCGACTGTTCTATCCATGCATGCATATGTCAGTCAATAAATTGCCGTCTATCTTAAACAATATGTTTTTCTGTTCTCTTGCCGTTAAATCATTCATCGGTAACGAGAAGAAAAAAAACATTAGCTCATAACTGACCGGCCAGTGTATATTCGACGTCATCGGTCATCTGTATATTTTAATAAACGAAAAAACAACAACAACAACAACAACAAATGCAATTTGCTCATACAAAAACACAAACAACAAAGCCTAAACGAAGTAATTCAATGCTAATTCACGATGATGAAGATTTCGGTAGGTTATCTATAGAAGAGAATTTTGCACGAAAGAATTTTTTTTTCTTCGTAGATATATCTTTGTCATCGATGTCAATCGGTTTAAGTTCGAAACTTCGTACACATCTATCGGCTCGAAATTGTTGTGATTGTCGTCTTGTTTACACATGTAATGGTTTATCATCAGCTGTTCTATGCCATCGGCTTGTTCTAAGTGCATCATCAGTCTATTTTCGTTTATTTTTCAAATACAATCAACCTCAATCAGCCTATGATTCAAGTCAACAATGTTATTTAAATGAATATCATTGTACATTTAATTTTACAGAAAAAACTCTGTTGACTTGTATCGATTTATTGTATGCCGATGAAAATTTACAACAATGTCCACAAAATTTATTATTCTACGATGATTTATTAAATGGAATGATGTTTCTCGGTTTGCCGGATGAATATTTTATTAAAATTTTAATATTATTACGTACGAAATTATTATCGTTAACAGGTGACGTGGAAAAACGTCATTTGATAGCGTCAGTAGCAAAATCACAATTGAATGATAAATTTCGAAAAGCATTTCTTGCCCGTTCACTTTGTTTAATTAACGATCGGAGTGAATTTAATTGTGGAATTAAACATATCTACAGTTTGTATTTTTTTCATTTCTATTGAAAATTTGAAATTTTATTGATACATTTTAGTAGATAGTCGATCGTATTATGATTCAAATCGACACACAATTGTATTGAATGGCAGTGGAGATAATCGATTGACATATAAAGGAATAATATTTCAAGCTAATGCACAATTTTCAACAGATTGCGCATCGTTTTGGTTTACGTGTCAGCGTGCTTTTCGCTCGTTTAATGTATTACGTGCCCGACTAGCAACACTTTATGTATATGATGGCATAAGTCAAACAATAGTCGAACGTATACCCAATCCGGATTGTAAACAAATGGGTTATCAATTGAGATTGCCACGAGGAAAATTAGTTTTGAGTAATTTTCTTATGAATTGTTATCAAGTTGTTGTTAAGCAAACATTTCCATTAAGTGAACATGTTGCATTTAATTTTGTTATTGAATTAATTCGAGATTAACATTAAGATTTTTCGTATTTTTTTTTCGAAATGTCTTGTATCAAGACGATGTAAGGAATCTTTTTTTCTCTTGTCTCTCGTCTGATATTTGTTTATGCACATTGTATAATTCGTGTACGATCTAGTATTGGATTTCAATGAATTTTGTTTTTTTCTCTCTTTGGTAAATAAATTTCATGAATTTGAAGAAAAAAAGTTAATTTCATAATTATTACAAATAGATTTTGCATTCGAAGATATTCGAAAGCATTGTCGGATCGACGCTGTTGAGGGTGTGGGTATGAGTGACTTGAATATCTACATCAACGCCCACACCCTAGTTTTTTCAATCTAATTATAATCTTATTCATTTGATTTATTTTTCAATTTTAAATAGAGGCAAAACATTTTTTTTAAAAGGATCCAAGTTTGTTGGCAATTCATAATCGCAAGATCGAGCAGAGATGTAATGTCTTGTCTTCTTGGTATAGTCAACATCGATTTTTTAAAACGGAATCATCCATTTAAATCGAAGAAAAATAACACACCCACACCCTGAATGTTTTAGTGTTTTAATGCACAGTTCTTTTTCATAGAATTGATATTTTTTAGTGCTTTAAAAAGCATGAAAAGAAGGAGCGAGAGCACACTGAAACAGAACAGAAAAACGTTGCCCTGTTGTAGAATGCAAAGAAATAAGCCATTTGAAAAAAAAATGCAAACGAGACAGGTAGGAAGAGCTTTTTTTTTTATAGCAACAACAACACGTCGTTTGTTTCGAGTTCTGGTTTTGGTTCGTAGTGAGTAAAGCATTCGCAAAACTGTAAAAATAAAATAAATTATCTTTCAAGTTATATGATTCCTTTACAATAAGATGAAGTGGATAGTTTATCTCTCGGTTCTTCCACTAGACACATATGACAGAAATATTATAATGATTCAAGAAATCAAGGACTATTTTACGCAAATTTAGGGGAGTAGTTAGTGAGGGGATCGTGGGGCGCGACACCTCCTACTTTTGAAATTTTCCTCCGAAGATAGTAAAAATATAACCTATATCCATATTGCGCCCCCACACCCTGCGTAAATTTGTGGGTGCACTTGCGGTTTTACTGTACATGGACGACATAGAAACTATAAGCATAGGTTGTAGAACTAAAAAGCCTGAATAGACAAAATTTTATCCTAAATTTAGGCTTCATAATCATGAAAGGCTCAAATATCAGCTTCTGGCTGCTTCAAATTTTTTGTGGTCTTTTCCGACAATTATTGATATTTTCGGAGAGAAAATTGAGTTTTGCATGACTAAATGTCGTAACAAGGATTGGAAATGAATTGACTTATGCTCTTTTTCTTAAAAATCAAGAAAAGTCATACAGAATACGGACAGTAAGCTCTACTAGGTGATGTACAAAATTATGCTCCTTAGCTATACTTATATGCCAATCAGATTTTCTCAACACGCTAAACAAATTCACCATTCGATTCTTTTTCTATGAGAACTAATGGAGCGTTGCAATTCTAGATAGGTGAACAGTGATATCAAATTTCTATCAGTAGCTTTTTCATTGCTGAAATTATTCTTTCGAACATATTCTCACTAAAAACACTTGTTTCAGCGAATTTCAAAAAATATTGATTGTGTTTTGCATTTTTTGTTGCGACAAAATAGATATAGAAATACAAGTTAGATCAATAAGAAAGACTTACGTCAGTAAAGCATTTCCAAACATCATGTTAACATAATATTAGGAATCATTTCTAAAAATTACTCTCTTTAATTTCAAGCAAATCTTTTGTCCGAAAGTGCCTCAATCGACAGAAGAAATTCCGCACATGTGGAATATCATTAGTCCAATCTGCGTTATTTAACGCAGATGAAAATAACTAGCTCATAATGATCAATAATAAATAGAGCTTGTAAACAGACATCTTTTGTCTATCACAATGGTATGTGTTGTATTCACAATTGAAAAAAAATATGAAATCGAATTAAAGAGTACCATACTACAAAATGTTGATTATTATCTTGAGATGTAGATTTGCATTTGTTTTAATTTTCAGATACTTATTATTTTTATACTCCATAAAACCTTTTCTTTTGAATAAAAATGGCTACGGCAGGAGGAAGAGGAGAAAAAGAAAAAGCCGTAATACAGCGTAGACTATGCATGAATGACGTTGTGCAGGAGTCCTTAGCATTTCTCGCGCCCATCGGAGGTTACTCGCAGATGCCTCTTGTTTCACTTGAGCAAGCAGTCGAACCGCTTGTTCCCATTCTACCAGATGTTTTAAGTCAGGCATATGTCGCTAAACAAAATTGTAAGAAACCTGCCGATAACTTAACACAAGATGAGTCTGCTTCAATTATGATTTGCACCATGGAATGGGATCCTCCTGAAGAATGTCTCTACGTGGCTTTGAATAATACATTACGAGCAAAGGATCGACAAAAAAAACTGCAACCTTGGTATCTTTATTTGAGACTTTTTCTAAATGCACTGTTCCGTCTTCCGTTGCTTTCAATAACTGCATACAGAGGTGTTAAACTGGACCTCAGTCACCACTATATCGACGGAGAAACGATTGTTTGGTGGGGTTTCTCATCATGCACAAAATCTGTAAGTGTTCTAGAATCAGATCTGTTTTTGGGGAAAAACGGCACTAGAACAATGTTTGCCATACACTGTAAGTCAGCAAGAGATATTAGCAAGCATTCATGGAGTTCAATTGAAGACGAAGTACTTCTAATGGCTGCAACGCAATTCAAAGTAACCGGTTCTCTTAATCAAGGTAATCTTCACATTATTCAACTGGAAGAAACTGTGCCAAAGTTTCCACTTTTACAATCAGTAACTATTGGAGGTTCATTACCAATTCATCCAAATTCATCTGGTGAGTGGGGAAGATAATAAAAGTATAATTTTTATTTAGTAGATACAGTACTGTCCATCTGAAAAGCTGTTTTAAAATTAGAATTTGTTAAAAATTGTTCGAGTTTTAGGTGGAATTAAGAATACTATACCTTCAGGGAAAACAAAAAATAGATGAAGTGTATCGAATTTATTGAAAATGAGAGGGAAAATGTTATTAAGAAAAAATGAATGGTTCAACAAACACATTTAAGAGATTATTGCTTTATAGCCTTCATACAGTGCCAAATCTAAAACTGTTACTAATTCTTGTATAAGCGTGCCAAAATTTTCTCAATGTCAAACTATCATAAAATAACAGATATCATATATTTATCTACCATCTCTATCGAAACTAACCACAAGATTAGAATCAAGTACGCTTAATTTAATAGGTTCTTATAAAACTATGAATTTCTTGTTTGATTTAGATTAATAAAAAAAACGATTTTATTTTTCACAAACACAATTATGAATTTTTTTCACTTTTTTTGGCAGACCCCTTGCTCGAATAAAATCATTAGAACGTGATCCGAGTCAAGAATATTCGAATTTTATTCTTTTGCACGAAGCCCTAAGTAATCACCGAAAACTTCAAGTAGCTGTGGAATGATTAAATAATCATAAAGTATTTCTAATAGCTGTACTCACCAAAATACAGGAGATCTTTACTAAAAAGTATCTCTTTTGAAAATGACCCCGCAAGACTATTACATTCAAACACATTCCATAGTGGACAGCTCTCTATAATGGACACCATTCCTTACACTCCTGTTTTGTGGAACTCACATATATTTTCGAAGAAAATAGTGAGTGTAAGTTGAAGTGCAAGATTTTTTGCGGCTCTCCTGTACCCCCTCCCCATTACAGGCTAGATAAAAATGTTGGTACAGATCGATTGCCTGTGTTCACCACTACTCATATGAGTAATTAAAATCTAGTTGATGGTATCTTTTTACTATTAAAGAATATATTCATATTCTCCGCGTAATCAGAGTTAGTTCGTCATAAATATTTTCCCCATTGCGTGAGAGTTACTCAAAAGCATTTTCTCTTAGCGGAAGACCGCCTCTGAAAATATCTAAAACCAATGTGAGAGTAACCAGCGGTAACCTTCGAAGTTTCATCTGACTCGATCGACAGTGGCTTCATGCATACTCCCATGCCATTGAACCCAGTGTAAATCGGCAATGATATCGCTTTCGAAGAGCTTAGTAGACTGCAGCATCGGTCAACTCTGATAGACAATACTTTTCTTTTTTGGGAAGAAAAATAATGTATAACGAGATCTACTAAGCAAATAATATTTTTTTTTGAATACAACATAATTTACAGGTATGAAGAAATCAATAATATGAGTTGTGTGTCATGTGATTAACGGGTTTTCAGCTTGCGCAGAAGTACAACATACATTACAGGACGAAGAGTTTGTACATTTCGGAGGTTTTGTTGAAAAGTCTTCAGAGAGGACATTTAAAGCGCAGTTTTAATGAATATATTTCGGTTAGAGTGAAAGAAAATACACCGTTTTTCCTACTTGAAGTTTCCGAATCAATAGAATCAGTGTTAAGTGTACAATGGGTTGTGAATTTTCTCTGAATCGAAGTGTGAGATAGCCGATGATTCTCTCTCCAAGGGGTTTTCAGTGTGTCAGATTAGTTTTTCGGAAATATCATGTCCTTGAACACGTAGAAGTTCTTGAATTGACTCAAAATACTTTGACAAAAAAAGTTTACAGAAGGTTGGAAAATCGAACAAACCTTCAGTATGGCAATGTCTCAAAGAAATGGAGCGAGATGTCAGAAAAAATTTACCTTGAACTGAAATAGAGTGAATAACTAGCTCACATATCATGACCCTCATCTGCTGCCTTACGTTATGCACTGTAGACAGCTTGATAGTCAACATGTGTGTGCTACGAAGATGGTCATAAATATCTTCGATATCATTGAAAGGTGATCGGCGCATGGTGGTGAAATACATATAAATCTTGTAGCGTGATCACGTGGAAGAGAAGTGATAAGAAGTAGCGGTCTGTGTAACACGCGATGACAAAGCATGACTACACTATAAACAAACTTCTAGGATAATAAATCCTTTAAGATTTGATGAAAAATTTTACATACGATTAAAACGATTGATTATAGGTGGCACTTTCATCAATCCCAAAGAGTTTAGTATTCTGCACTTGTTATGTAATGTGGGCCAGATATAGTCGATGGTTGAGCTTCAGATGTGCGCATGTCGAACATATGCAAAAAAGTGAGCACCTAGGAAACGTACTGAATAATATAGAATAAATGAAAACGAGAATAAAACGCACTGAGCATTGTGCCACCAAAAGAGCAATCTCAAACGGGATATTGTTTCTGAATTTTTGCTTAACCTTCAATAATCAATAATTCAATTGCAGTAAGAAATACGTTCTTAATTTGTTTTATCTTTTAATCTGACGTTTTACACCTTGCAGAGTAAAAAAATCTTTTCTAACCGATGCCAGCCGCATTTCAACATCGTATGCCAAGACGAAAATAGGCAATACTGCATAACAACGTTCACATCTTAGAATATAATACGCCGATGCACATTTTCAAATAGCTTCTACTGTTCATTGCTCACTGTTATATGCGATGAGAGAAAATGAAACGTGAGAAAAACATAATATACTTGATTCAGTTATAAATGAAAAATGATAGATCCGATCAGCATGGTTTCTAATAATTAGTTCTGTAAAAACATAAAATCTGCTAATTTCTCATTAAACTGTTGCTTTAATGTTAGCGAACAAATAAGATTTTTCTTCGCTATATTATATATGACATGATATTTTTATTTTTTTCTGTTCTATCATCCATGTTTTCTTCCCCCTTTACTCTTTCATTATTTTATTTTTCTTGTTCTTTAATCTATTGGTTTAAACTTTGGTTTTTACCAAGATCGAAACAATCGCAATATTATCATCATCTTTCTCCCCAAATGTGTCGTACTGCGCATGTGCGAATAAGCTAAGAAGGGGTCATATCTTCTCCGTATATAAGCGTTAACGTTTTCTTTAATAAAGAAAGATAAAACTTTGCAAAGAAAAAAATATCATGTCATATATAGTGGTGAATACACATCTTATTTGTGCGCTAACATTGGATTAATTTTTTCTCTTAGTTTAAATGCTGATGTTTTGATAACGCGCTATCGACATCATATAGCGAGCAACCCTTTTGTACCAACATGAGTCATACACTTTTACTCTATGCTATATTCTGATACGTGTTCTCTCTGTCGTTAAGTTTTTCAATTAAATTTACAATGTGAAATTTTGCAACTTGAGAGCAACAATATTACGAACAACAAAGATATAATGCGTTCTAGATTTCTATTATAATATATTAAAGAGAATATTAAAAAAGGAACAATGAGAATTAGTGACGATGAAGATATGAAACCAGAAGCAGTTTTTAGATTCTTATGCCAAATTTTCTTCCATGATAACCGTATCATACACACTTTTGAGTCAGCAGTTAAAACGAGATCGGATCTAAAGAAAAAATTGCACGCACCTCCATTTTTCTACTCTTGACGCAAAAATATACTGAAAAGCGAACTGATTCTCATTTGATTCACCCGAAGCAATTTCCAAATGTGCAAACAACTAAATGTCTCCTACACGACTTTCTCATCAGACGTTTCGATTTCATAATCGAAGTTACACTATGTTATCTGCTGAGAATTTGAAATTGTAGGTGGGTAACAAGCACGCTATATTTGTTGAGAGTTTTAAACTATCGGTAGGGTAGAAAGTAAATATATGATATCTGCTATCTGGTGAGAATTTGAAACTATAGGTAGGAAGCAAGTATGTTATCTTTGTTGAGAGTTTAAAATTATACTTAGAAAGTAAATATCTGATTTCTTTAGCAAAAATCAGATATCAGCGATGAGATATTTAGTGAAAACTGGTAACAATGTTAGATTTGTCACGACCTTAAGAAAAATAAATTTTTATTGCTCATTTTGATTCGTAATCGATAAAGCATAACGATTTACTTATCCATAATCATTTAATTATTTTTTACTAATAATCAATCATTAAATAGAATCAATGTGCTCGTCCGTAGTTTATATTCCTGGTTCGTCATTGAATGAAGAGGATTTGAAAAGTCTCGTTAATATATGTTTATCAAATGATAACGAACGTGTCGATATGCATGGAGGTCGTCGAGCAGCATTTAAATATTTATCGCAATTAAAATCATTTGGTATGGATTTATCATCTTATATTGATTCAAAAACATGGGAAAAATTAATAAAGAAAGTTGAGAAATTACAATGTGTCGATTATTATAAACAAAATTTTGATGAAAATAGATATGATACATTCGAAAAATATTGGGAATTAAATAGTGAATCACGTAGAATTCATTCAAAGGCTAAAAAGAATCGAAAATATACAACGGAACATTTTCAACCTGAACAATTAAAAGTTTATTTTAATAAAAAACAAATTGAAAAAATTCCTTATTCAAAAGCTACTTTAGAATCAAATGGTTTTGTTGACAGTGATGCAAGAGATAATATGAGAAAATATCCAATTAGTGAACGAAAAAATAAAGGTCAAATAAAAACAATTAAAGGAAGAATTGAACAAGCTGTTTTTCGTGTTCCACCTGGAAAACAAATTATTATTTTAGATTTTGCAGATGATAGAATGCCTGGAGGTAATTTGATGATTTATTTTATAAATACATTTCATTATTAAATATATAATAGGTCTTTTTCTTTATGGTGCTTCAACACAAGAAGAGACAATTTGTTATAATTCAAATACATATCGAGCTTTACTTGATTTTAAATATCAAAGATTTGATGGAGGCTTTATGATTCCAGAATTTGGTTGTTTATATATTAAAAATGTGAAATTTTATCAACCAGTTAATCCTAATGTTAATAAAAATGTCGATGTAATTGCTGCTGCATGTTATGATTTAACAGAAGTACATGGATTGCATATTAAAAGTAAAGAAGATAAGGATCTTGAAAGTTGTACGAAAAAAAAATTTGAAACAATAATTGCGTCTGCACAAGCTAATAGTAATGATAATGGAGAAAATACTTATCTGATTTTAGGCCCAATTGGATGTGGCGCTTTTCAAAATGATATTAAAACTATTACTGAATTGTGGGAGAACGTTTTATCAAGTCCATTAAATGAAACTTCAAAAACTAAACAACATCATGCTTTTGAAGAAATTTGGTTTCTTAGTGGAAAAGATGATAAATTAGAAATTTTTGAAGAAATTTTTGATCTTCATCCGAAAGAAAGATTGCAAGCTACTTGAATTAGATTTATCATTTTCATTGACTTGATAAAGTTTTTCAATGCTTTTAAGTTTATATAGCGTATTAATAAATTTAATCAAATCGTCTTATATTTCAAATACTTTCTTATTTTCGATTTTATATGAGCATTCGAAACATCCATGTCTAAAACTGGTAACCAGAAAATTTCAGCTTCTAATATCATTCCTTCAAAAAGTTACATGGGCACGACTTTGAACACTATCGTATTTTTCCGAAAGAAAAGTAGTGGCAATGTCTCGTTCTTATTATGCCATATTTGTGTTTCAACAGATCATCCAAATATTTAAAAGAATACATTACAAGATAAGTCATTCTGAGCTGAAAAAGGATTGATATTTAAATTATTGTATATCACTTACTTGTTGGAGCTATTCAGTGCAACAAGTATGGGTACTAACAGAATTTTTCAATGTTTCACATTTAAGCGGCTCAAGTTAAATTTTGATTCTGCACAAAGTCATAAAAATATATTCTAAAAGGAACGGTAATACTGGGTCCTCAAAATGTCTAACATTGCTTTTCACCTAGTGAAAATCCTATTGAAAAATAATCCGTGAAGCTATCTTACAGTCTTTCATTCATGAAAATTTTAGTTTCAGAGAAACTAGAACTTCATCCTGAAAATAATGGTAGAGATAGTTCTTTCGAAAAAGAAAATCAAATTGCGACCATCCTTCGTGCCAGAGTTGGTAGTACAGGAATAAAGAAATTTTTTTTTTCTCATAACTCAATAGTAATCATGTGAAATAATAAAGGTTGAAAATCTGATCACAAATATATATTGTAACCCTAACAAAATTGATTATTTTACGGTAGAGTTCAGTTCTTGATGTGTATTTGCAACAGGGTTGCCAGCCGTACCCAATTTGAGCCTTTTGTACCTCAAAAACAAAATTGTACCTCTGAGGTACGCATTTTGTACCCCATCTGCATTTTTCAATCTTACGACTACTATCACCCATATTTTGGTTGAAGCTAAGAAAATTTTTGTCTCTTTATCCGACTTTTACTATTGATAAAGATGTAAAGCGTAAATTATATTGGTTGGCTGCTAGTGGTCATGTTTATGAAGAATTCAACAATGGCATATGCAACGAGTCCCATGATGAAGATGATCTCATTCACAAACCGACGACCGAAAATCATGAAAGAGAAGGGGAATTTCGGCCTGATCAATTTTGGGCTTTTCTTCTTGTAAAGTCGAAACCAATGTGTATTGAAATGTACAAAAAATTATTTATTATGTGTACTCAATTCCTTGCTCGAATGTATTTGTTGAAGGCGGTTTTAGTCAAAGAAAAAGTGCATGGACAGCCAGTCGCAATTTGACGGTGAATGAAACGATAGCCGCTGAATTGAAAATCAGATTTAATAGTACTATGACATGTGAAGATTTTTTTCTTTTGCTCAAACACAACCGCAACTGATAAAGTATGCCAAAAGTCAACAAAAATACAGTTTCGAAGAAAAGCGTGCAACAGTTAGTGCAAATATAAATCTAGAAGGTTTGCTTTGAGTCAGCATTGTTTTATTATGATTGAATTGAATATGTTTATGTCAAAATGAAATTTTATTGTGAACATATTTGTTAGAAAATAAAGATTTCAATTTGAAAGCTAGACTTTATAGTAAAACGAAAAACTGAGAATGCCCTTTCCAGCCCCACTCTCAAAAAAACAAAGGAGGTTTACAGAACCTTCCGAAAAGGTTCTGCAGATTTTCAAAATGCTCCAAATGTGTTCAAAGTCTCAAAAAACGGATAAAAATTTTGACAGAACCTTTTGAAGGTTCTGCGTTTTACCCAAGTGCAGAACCATCTCTTACAGAACCTTTTTTTCGGTTCTGTACAGCAAAAAAAGGTTCCGTGAGAAAATACGAAACCTTGAAGGTTCTGTACAAAACGATTGGGTTCAGTACGGAACCATTAAGGTTACGCACCAACGGTTAATGGTTTCGTACAGAACCTTCAAGGTTTCGTATTTTCTCACGGAACCTTTTTTTGCTGTACAGAACCGAAAAAAAGGTTCTGTAAGAGATGGTTCTGCACTTGGGTAAAACGCAGAACNTTGTTTGCATGTCGGTCACGAATAAAGACATCTTAATAGAATTAAATGGATTCCAAGTATTACAGCGATATTTTTATTCAATGATTATAAAAATTCAAAGGGATCAAAATTGATTTTTAAACAAAATTTGATATCTTCTTAGCAACCTTGACTTCTATTACGTAACAAATCAAATTTTCTTTGTATTAACCTTGTACTATTTCATTGATCTATATTTTTTGAAGTGACTAATATAAACGTTTATTTTTTTCATCACATCTAACTCGAGAATACAGGCCAGTTGAAAATCACCGTCTGTGCAATCATATGGAGTTCAAATTTACCCCTTAAGAATTGTAATACTTTTGATTAAAAGAAATATACGATAGCCATCTGATGATTTCTCAATATAATTCTGTTTAGTATTAATCTTCATAATATTCCTTTATTTTGATGTTTTCATTTTCCTCTACTCTCTGACTTTCATTTAAATGTTTAATTTTTAACTGTTTACTGCGTGATTCTGAGAAAATCGTTTCCATAGCTCGAATTTATATATTTCTTCTATGACTAATCCTAGAGTTACATAAATGTAAGATAGTATTCACTCTCTTACAAGAAACTACGTGCTAAATGTTGGACATTTTTTGATTTTCAATAATGGAAGAAAAAACATTTTTCCAATGAGATATCAAAACGTTTGTCTCCTTCTTTAATTATAAATACTGTGACTTACCGTAGGAATCGTTTTTTCGGCTATTCACTCGGCTTAAGAATAATAATACCAGCAGTAGTAAAACAGGATAAAACATGTTTCGTCGGCGTATCAGTATTTATCAGAAATAGTTATATTAAATAATTGATAGAAGTTTCTGCATCACATGTAATGCTTTATACATATCATCTCCATACACAGTTTAAGTATACCCTTTACGTCAACAACGTTTTCTTATTTTCTGTCATCGAAAACAAAATATGCCAAAACACAAATAATATGAAACGGACTAATTAGTATAGACTTCCCAATGGAGATATCATGGTTACACTGTTATTGAGAATTCCATAATATTTTCCCTGTTGACTGGTTATATGTGTCATTTGGCTTATATACCATGTCAACGCCTTTTAGATGAGATAGCAGAACTCGTTATTAGCATTAGTAGTGTGAAAAAAGTCTTCTATTCTATTTCTTTCATACAATATATACATAGTATAAATGCTACATACAATAGTTATTTGAACATTTGTAATTTTCGTTTTAAGGGACTTTCATCCGATCTCGTTATTCTATGATGAATTTTCCTTACAATTCTTCGGGTAAAAATATTGATACTGTTTTATTTGTGAACTTCTGGTCGCAACATAAGTATTTTGCTTCTTGTGGCAGTCATTGCTTTCAGATGATTGTAGGAGATGGAAATCAAAAAATCAGAAGAATGATATGCAAATTTCATTCGCTGATATTGCATTTCTTATTCTTTTACTTAAATAATCCTTGTTCAACTCTCGCACACTGAAATTTACTGAAACAAAAGTAACTTAAAATATTTTTTCTGCAATGTTAAATAAAATACCCATTTGGCGAGCGAAAAAGTTCATTCTCAAAATATTATTGTATATAGAATCAAATAATGTGAGTTTTTCTCGTCTAAACTTGTATCAATTTTTATAGTCGCTATGGAAACAATATGTGGAAGTTTATGATTATGCAGCGTATTTCATTAATTTTAATGCATTATTTGGAACATAATGTGTTATAATCCATTGTAATGTAATTATAGGATTGTCGATTACGTAGGAAGAAGTATATAAACTTAAAGGAAATAATAATTCGTCTTTATGTCTTTATGTCTTTTTTCAATTTTAATTTTCGAGGATCATAGTTTCTCCAGCTGAAGTTATCTTATAAAAATACTCGAATAAATGTAATATATCATCGTACCAATACATGGCAGAACCACGAAGCCAGCTCAATGCAATTGAATCCATGGAGCTAGTTGATCTCGATTGAATTAAACTGACTCCTATTTTGTGCAGAGTTACCCAGATCTGGTATATGATAGAAAAAGTCACCGATTATATTGCTTCAATATATCAATTCACATTATATTTAATATAGCATTTTGAAGGTTCATTTTCAACCGTATATTTTTCGTAATATGTCCTAAAACTTTATTTTTACGATGGGAAGTTTTTCAAAAAGATTACAAAAATTATATTATTAAGTGGAATTATTTTTTCTTAAGAATGTTATTTTTTTTAACAGGCAATTAGAAACTCCAGAATATCAACACTTTGTCATAGGATGTGATCGTAGTCCTTTGCCTGGTCAAGAATATTGTACTCATCATGTGGAAATGAATCATTCAAGCCAAATTAATCTGATAGGAGATGAAGATGAAGACTATATATTACTCCGTAATGGTAAAAGAACTCATTTTTATCATCGTTTATCATGCAATACGAAGAAATCAAAACCAGAATCTTATATTTCAAATTCTCATAGAACATTTGGTGTAATTGTATACGTTTTTAATTGTAATATCTTACTGGCTGCCCATGAAATAATGCGATCAGAAACAGTGAAAGAAATTTTAGCTGGTCTATGCGATATCATTCGTATTACAAGTGTTAATAAAGATACAGTTAAACCTGATGATATGGCAGACTGTTGGTTACCGAAGACAATTTTCACTTTTTTAAATTTTTCAAATAAATATTTTTAAGTAGCTCAAATGTTTTTTGATTTAAATAATAAATATTTCGCAAAAAATGGCAATTTTTTTTATTTCACTATTAAATACTTTAAAAATATTATAAATTTTCTTTTCATCTTACTAATAAATAATTTCATTTAGCAAATAAATAAAAGAAGAAGAAAAGAAACATATGACGTAATCTTATATTTCAGCTTTTTTCTTTTCTTTGAAGCGAAAGAGTAAAAGAAAATTTCTTTTTCTTGCTCATTTATTTCAAAGTATAGAAAAAGAAACGAACAAAGAAAAAACAATTCACAAGACTTTTTTGATAGAAAATCGTTGAACACGATGATTATTAAAATCAGCGACATAGAGATTACCATGTCGATCGAAAGACAAACTAATGGGGTCGTTGAACTGATTTGCTCCTGCTCCTTCGCCATTTCCACCCACAACTACAGTACCTTGTTTCTTGTCTCCTTGAGTCCAACGCATTACACGATGATTATCCGAGTCTGCTACATAGAGTGTACCCAACGTATCAACGAAGATTCCTTCAGGATTAGACAATTGTATCAGAGCATTCCCTTCACCTTGTCCTCCAGCAACCACAATACCTTCTTTTGCACCTTCCACCCATTTCATTACACGATTATTGTTGCTGTCTGATACGTACACTGAATGATCTCGATCGACAAAGAGATATCTCGGCGAGTTGAGTTGATTGAGTTCATCACCTTTACCATTACCACCAGCTACGAGAGTGCCATTCTCATCACCCAATTGATATCGTCTTACTTCATCTTTATTCCAGACAGAAACGTAGAGATATCTCTGTTCATCCATTGCTAATCCATGACAATTGATGTTATCGATGAGTATTTCATCTTGTGTTGTACCACTACGACGAGACCATCGTACAACTCGTTGATTCCTCCAATCACAAATGATGAGACTATCCGTCTCTTTGTCAATTAATACATTAGTTGGAAGATTCAATTGATGTAATCCATTTCCTTCGCCTTTACCACCAGCAACAACTTGTCCATTCGTTGTATCTCCGTTCTTCCATTGCATGATACGATGATTCCAGCCATCAGCAATAACCACTGTTTGATCATCATCAACGAAGAGACCAAAAGGGCGGTAGAGTTGATTAGTGGCATCCCCGTTCCCGTGACCTCCAGCAATAGTCACTCCGTTCTGCTTCCATGTAGCATTAGTAGGAATATTAACTAGAAGAGAAAACGTATAAGAATAAAATGAGATCTTTCTCTCTCTCGGGTATCGAGTAAAATTCTTTGAATACATCATTCTTTCTTTTTTTTGCTAGAAATTCCTCAGAATAATCTATATACTGAAAGGTTATTCTATAGAAACAAGAATATAGAGTTCTCTCTAATGCTCTTTTTTCTTGCATCAAAATAGTTCTATATTTTCTATGAACATATATGAGCTTATCATATGCGTACGCAATGCATTATTTTCCTATCTTGAGGATGTCAATTTACAGTGTATTTTTGTTTAAATTTAACTTCGTGAAAAGTTAATATTTGTTCATAATAGTCAAAAAATTTCTCTACAGATTATGCAGAGTCCGTCATCTTTCTTCTTCAAAAACATCGGGACGCTCATAACTATATATATATTTAATAACAAAATTCGTAGAAGAATGACTATATAGTTTTATCAAATATATTTGACTTTAAATAGTAGCAATCAAGTCAAGAACTATATGTTTATCTACTCGGATTCAAAATAATTTAGTTAAATTTAAATGTGACACCCCTATTTCGTATGATCAAAAAATATATTTTTTGCTAGAATCTTTTTCGTTTTCTCTTATTAAATAGAACATTTCTATGTTCTAGAATATCTTTTATTATACTTTATATAAATTATTCTGTGACATTCACAGGAATATTAACGAGAAGAGATCTTTCTCTAGAGTATAGCTAGTATATATGAAATAATTTCGAAAGTATCGAGGTGAAATTCTTTGAATTGATCATTCTATACAAAGAATATAGCATATCGCTCTTTCTAAAAGCGTATTTAAATTCTATATTTTGTAGAAACATATCATTACATTATATTGTCTTGTGTTAACACTATTGGATATCTATTTTCGACACCTCAACGAATAGAATACCGAAGGAAATCGAAAAATATGATTGATTGCCATCGGTCTGAATAGTAGTAAGTAATGCTACCCGAAATTATATTTCTGCAACTCTTATATTCAAAAAACTATAATATCTTTCAATAAGAAAATTAACTTCGTAATCAAATTGATTGATTATAACAAGTATTAATTCATCGTGGCTTTATTCGAAGATGCTTCAATTCAAGATACAACCAACAAGACTCAAAATGAAACAAAAAAAGTGGTAACAGTCTAGAATGTCCTTGTAAAAATATCCTCTATTATGAAAATGTCCTTTCACTAAAATAAAAATAGTGCTAGGTGATAATTTTACAGACGCCTTTTACTTTATTCTAACGGATTGAATTTCATTTTACTTTTTATTCACAGCAAAACAAGAAAGTCCACGTAATAAATCTTGCAGTGTAATTTGATTTTTGTTGAACCGATTCTATAATTCTGTGATGCATTGTTCAGGGATTTTCGGCTTCGATCGTTTTGAGATTTACTAAATGAGTATGATCGATAACTTTTCCGTAATAACGTAAAAAGTTTTTCTTGAGACTAGTGTGTAATAGCACACCGCAACTTCTACTAGTACATCGCCAAAATTTAATAGTTCCTTTATTATTAAAAGTTTTGAATAGAAAATTATAACCATTAATAAGCGATCTTGATTTTCGTTTATTTGATTTGTTTTTCTTATAACAATGCTATTTGAACATAAGGATGACGACAAATATTCAGATGAATGCGACGAGAATGAGGATGATGTATCATCCTCGTCCATTATATCTTGCGATACCATTTAAAAATACTTTACTTCGCTTATTTATAAAAATGCAATATAGTAAATAAGGAACTGATAGTGCTTTAATAATTTTTCTCTCTTCCGTACTCGATTCTTTCCATATATAAATGAATTCTCTGTAACCAACTTTAATATCTCCCGGAGTATGTTTGAATCACAGCATTATCTACATTTCAGTAACATTGTTTGTAAACAATAATCGACGACAAAGGACATTTTCATACAAAGGACCATTCCCAGAGGACATTTTTCATGAAGGACATTAATCCTCAAGGACATTTTTTGAAGGACCAAATCTCAGGGACATTTTTTCCGAGGACCAAATCCCGGGGATATTTCGTAAAGAACATTTTTGCAACGATATTCTAGCATGTACTCGATTAATCGAATCAACGTGAGGTTGGGTACGCCCGCATGTGATTATATCGTGTGGTAGTAAGTCACCAGGGTTGGTGTTACTTCGCAAATTTCTATTGTGACGATGAGAAGTCGTTTTTTGAAAAAATGATCAAAATAAAAAATGTTAAAACGATGAACTATTGTGCGACAAAGTATTCGATGAAACGAACTGATCAATCGTGTGAAATAGAATCAAGTGAAGGTGGGTCACGGCACCAAACATTAGAGTGTCCCTGTACTATCTTGATGTTTTTTTTATTAAGAATCAATTCATTGTTTAAGCGAGAGAAGAGAGGATATATATATATATATATATATATAAGAGAAATAAAGCATCAGGGAATCCG